GTAAATTTGTTTTGAGGACTGGTAAAAGTGTTTTGAGGACTGGTAAAAGTGTTTCTCATCTCGTAAATTTGTTTCGTCGCATGTATATTTATTTTGGAACTTGTAAATTTGTTTCCGCGCTTGTAAATTTGTTTGGGCACTTGTAAGTGTGTTCGTTTTTGCTTGGCTTTGTTAATTTGTCTTGACTTTTGTAATTTTGTTTTCTGAAAAGTTAATTTGATTTGCCCTTATCGGCCACCGTAGGTAAGGCTGTCCTCCTGGCATTTCAAGCAAACTTTTCTTCCATATGGGTGACGGGTGTCATTCCTACTGACTGGAAAATGAGACATCTTATCTCTATCTGGAAAGAAAAGGGTGATCGCCTGGATTGTGGTAACTACAGGGGCATAACACTGCTCTCAGTGCCCGGTAAGGTCCTTGCTAGGGTCATCCTCAACAGGATCCATGATCACTTGCTCACCTAACACTGACAAGTGCAGTCTGGCTTTATGCCTAAGAAGTCTACCATCAACTGCATCCTGACACTGAGGGTTCTCATTGAGTGCAAACTCAAATATTGGCAGAGTTTCTTTGCGGCCTTTGTCGATTTTCTAAAAATGTTTTACTCAGTTGATCAAGCTGCCCTGTGGAACATCCTGAGACTTTGTAGAATCCCCCCAAAGTTGCTTTATGTCATGGCTTGCCTGTACACTGGTACTGTGAGTTCTGTGCAGAGTAGAGACAGAACCTCTGCGTTCTTCCCAGTTGATTCCGGGGGTCATTAAGGGTGTGTTCCTACTCTGTTCAATGCTTGCATGGACTGGGTGCTGGGCAGAGTCATGGGGTCCAGTAGCTGTGGGGCATCTCTTGATAAAGAAAGATTCACTGATTATGACTTTGCTAACGATGCTGTGATCTTTGTGGAGTCATTGGAAGCTCCAGTTGGGGCTCTTGAGAGACTGAACTGTTACGGATCAACCCCGGGGATGCCCAACTGACGTCAGGAAGACCACGCCTCCGGGGATTCCTTGATCCACCTTTCTCCGTTTTAACAAGCTGTCAGCTTCGCGCTGCTATACCAGGTTGTCCGGTTTCTCCGGTTTTCAGTGCAACCACCTACCGCAAGCTGTTGCATGTTATTTCTAATTTAGGGAGACCATTTTAACCATCGGATCTTGCACTCTGAGTTCGAGCGTTTTCTGATTTCTGTTCAGCCCCTTTGATGGCCGAAGTGAATCACCTGACCCCCGTCTGTACCCTGACTACGAGCCCTGCCCAGCCCCAAGATCGACTCCGCACATCGCCCGACCCCAGCCTGCCCCACGACAATGATCCAGTCTGCTTCGTTGGTTTTTTTTTAGTGTTATGTTTGCGAAATATATAACCTGGACTACAAACAACCTTCTTTTTGTATTAAAGTCACTTCGCATCTGATTCCGCGACAGCGTCCTCTTTTCCCCTACTAAACCCTTACACTGAACAAGGAGATTCTCTGTCTGGGCATGCGAGTGTCTTGGATAAAAACCAAGATCCAGGCCTTGACCAAGCCATGACCTCTTGGGCACAGCAATCAACAGTGTGTCTGCGGAAAGAATGTTGACCTCGTCGAGAGACTCACTTACCTCGGTAGTGACATTCATATCTCTGGGGACTCATCCTTATAAAGTCAGTAGATGGATTGGGAGAACATGGGGGGTAACGAGGTCACTGGAAAGAGGTGTGTAGCACTCCCAATATCTTTGTAAGAGGATGAAGGTCCCAGGCTTTAGAGTCCTGGTGCTCCATGTTTTGCTGTATGGCTACGAGACATTGACACTCTCCAGTAACCTGAGACAAAGATTGCACTCCTTTGGTACTGTGGCTCTTCAGAGAATCTTTGGGTAGCGCTAGTTTGACTTTATGTTGAACGAGCGGTTTCTCAGGGATTCCCAAATGAAGCACATTACCTGCATTGTGAGAAAGCATCAGTTACAGCATAAACGCAACATGGTGCAATTCCTTGAGGGTGATCCAGCTTGCAGGATCCTCATTGATGAGGACCCAAGCGGCTGGACCAGGCCAAAGGGATGTCCACGTAACACTTGGCTGCGACAGATGAATGGCCATTTCCGGAGTGGGACTGAATGGCATGTTGGCCTGGGGGGTTGTAAACCGAGATCCCAAGGTTTTTTTCCAGTGGTGGGGATGGGTGCAGCAAAGTGCTGTACCAGTGTATGCTCCCCAACTTGACCTGACCTGTGAATGAAATACCAAGAATAGTTTTTTGATTCAGATGAGCCAGAGCTTAAAAGATTTACTCTGTATATGTGATTCAGATCTGAACTCCTGTCAGAGAAACCCTTGTTTGAATGGAGGGATATGTTCAGTTGACCAGCATGACTTTTTGTGCCTCTGCCCACCTCGCTATGACGGAAAGACATGTGAGACAGGTGAGGCATAGCTTGGATCTGAAGTACCCTGGTTGTTGAATAGGCAAGGCCAATAATACTTATATGGCATTTCTGTCTCCTAGAGGTGTTTGAGTGCCAGTACAAAAATGGGGGGTGCCTGCAGTACTGCACTGACATAGAGCGTACTACTGGTGTGAGGTGTAGCTGTGCTGAAGGATATCATCTGCAGGAGGATGGAAAGACCTGCAAGGAAGCAGGTAAAGGAAAGCTCCCAGTGTGCATCTTTGTTCTAAGTGTTCTAAGGATACGTAATAGTTTTACACAGATCATAAAAATAAGAATAACATCACATTTTGCAGTATAACATTAAACTCTAGTTTTCTAAAATAAGGTCAGCTATCATTTGATGTATACAACTATATTTAGATGAATAAGAATGTTCAAGCAAGTAATCCACATACAAAAAGTAAAATATGAGCTAGGAATTCTAACTAATAAAATAAGCTTAGTAAATTATCGGTGTTTAAAATATCAAGTGAAGGTGTTATATTAACATTACATCGTTGCATGCTTCTATCTATTTTGTCGCATGGGGATTTATTTAGCACGTTCCTTTATTTATACTGCTGTGTTGTAGCTATAGTTATGTGTACTTACCACATTGTCATCCCAGTGCCATTCCCCTGTGGGAAACGATGGCAAGGGAATTCTGTCCAGCGCTCTGTCCTGGAGGATGTCTTCTTACAGAATGAAACTCAACCATTTCCATCAACTTTTCCTGACTCTACGAATCCAAAGAAAATGTCCTTTCATAATTCTACCGATCAGAAGTGTAATTCCACCAGCATTAGCTCCAGAGACAGCATTGAAGATGAGTTATCAGAGGGATTTGATATGAAAGCACGCATTGTTGGAGGACAGCTTGAAAGACAGGGTGGGAGTCCATGGCAGGTATGACATATTTAGGAACAACAAATTCAAAACCCAAATATGCAATTAGAATGTATACTTAATTTTTTTTTTTACTCAATTGGTCTTTACATTTTCTGCTACTTCCCACATATTTTATGTTACATAAAAAATATTTGTTCAGTTGGTGAATATAGATTTGACACATCAAGTCTTAATATTCACGTAACAGTAGTCTATTGAATTTTCCGGATTTTTTTTACTACATAAAAAATATTTTTGAAACAATTTAAACGCTCCCTCATCTTAAATCAGAAAAAAAATTCTGATAAGGCAGTGTGAGTAAGAGAGGGCCTTATAGTCTAACAATAAAATTGAAAGTAGAATTTGTAGGGACACTGACTAAAAGCTCTAACACCGGGTCAGTTACTGAACAAGGTTTTAATTTTTTACACTGTGCTGTGTGATGCTGCTTCCGTAAAATTATGCCAACTAATTCATTGTTTTATTGAAAAAAAAGAAAATGTGATGCCATTGCATGCAAATTTTTAATTTACAGGTTCTTATTCACAAGGAAGATGGCTTTGGGTTCTGTGGCGGCACTCTGATTATGCCACGCTGGGTTATTAGTGCGGCCCACTGCTTCCAGGAAACCCCTCATCATGTGACCATTGGTGAGATGTTTGAATCTGCAGTGCCTAGAATTCTAATGTGGTGTTTTACAATCCATTGTATGTGCACAATTACTATGTTTGCAGTCTGCAACTATACAGTGATAGTGAGTTTGACAGTCGGGTTTATACTTATATGTAAAGACATATTAGTTGAAAATTTAAAAATAATTCTTATGTGCATATGAAGCATTTTATATACATGAATATTTTAAATATTGACCTCTCTTGTACCTAGGGGAATTTGACAAGATGCGACTAGACCAAGATGAGCAGATGATCCGAGTTAAAATTTTAATAGTGCACCCTCACTTCCATGAGTTTACATTTGACAGCGACATAGCCCTACTCTACTTGGCCAAGTCAGTGCAACTAGGGCCCTTTGCCACACCTGCATGTCTTCCTAACACACACCTGGCACAACTGCTCCTTAAGGAGAATAAAATGGGCACTGTCACTGGGTGGGGGGCTACCCAGTACATGGGAAGATCTTCCCGTTTCTTGCGCAAGGTAGAGCTCCCAGTTGTGGATCAGAAGAAGTGCATTTTGTCCACTGACCAGGTGATTACAGACAATATGTTCTGTGCTGGATATGATGAAGTGCCCATGGATGCCTGCAGTGGTGATAGTGGTGGTCCTTTTGTGTCCAAACACCAGGACACCTGGTACCTTACAGGTGTGGTAAGCTGGGGAGAAATGTGTGCTGCCAAGGGCAAATATGGTGTTTACACCAAACTTGACAACTACCTCTCCTGGATAAAAGACACAGTACTGCAGTATGAGCAGAACATTACTGAAAACTAAACTTGAAATCTTATAAATGTTATTTTGTGTTTTTATGAAAATTACAGAGGAATGTATAATGAATGTGTGGCCAATATGAAGTGAGTAAAAGTGAGATTTGTGGTACTTTCTGGTAACTGGTAATTCCTTAATTGTTTAAATAAGACTAGCTTTACATCAAACGGAATTAACTGGCTGAACAGCTTAATTCAAGGGTTAACATAAAATGACTTTGAATGTTAGTTTGCCTTACCACAAAACAGAGACAGTTTTGTGGTGTTATAAGAACACAAGTTGACCAAGAACAAAGGGATGCCTTAATAAATATGAATACATGGCCATGTATTGCTGTTTAATGCATTGATCAATCATCAGCAGCAGAGGTGGAGATTTCAGGTCCAGAGAGTACAAATCCAGACCAGGATTTTGTCAATTGGTAATTTCAAATTTTTGGTCTGTTTCAAGGTCCCTGTCTTAGCATATTGCCATAGTAAATAGTAAATGTTTAAAGCTTACCAGAGATATGTTACACCTCCCCCTTGCTTAACAAAAGTCATAGATGTATGTATTCAAAGCCCCTGAATCTGCCAGATTCAGCCCCATGTGCTCTGGATTATGTGATATATGTAGATAACAACCAAGAGTGTTAAATGAGTAAGATTTTTTTGCCTTTTGTCTCTCCCAGCTCCTGGCTGAATACTGAAATATGCCTAATGCATAAACATATACTGTATAAAGTAATAATAATAATAATGATGATATTGATTGCTCAACATTCTTCTATGTATGTGCAAGTGTAGGTGTGGCCTGATTTGTCATTGAATGTGCTGGCATTTGATGCCGTCAGGGGAGGTGACAGCACCCCCCCCCCCCCAGGCCCAAGGTGAAGGCAGGAGAACCAGGCAACCGAGGCCACCCTACCATCCCCCCGGCACAAGGGCCCACAGCCACGTATCCCCAAGACAACCACCCGGCCCAACCCGAGAGGGAGCCCGCGAGGGACTAAGGGGGTGCCAACCCCCGTACAGGGAGGCCCGCGGAAGGAGGATGGGTGGCGAGCCACCCAGCCCCACCCGCAACCCCCTCACCGAGGCAGGCGGGTCCAGGGCCCCACCAACCGGGACCCCCCCCCCCCCACCACACACTGGAGGGGCCGCCGCCCACCACAGCGACCCGGCACGCCTCCCCCCCAACACTGCAGGATGATCCAAGGGGGGCCCATACCAAGAGCCCCCCCCCACCCGGGAGTGGACCTGTGGTGACCGGGGAGCGGCAGACCCCCCGCTCAGCCCAATCCGAACCCCCCAATCCGCCTAGCAGGGCCCAGAGCGTCCCAAGATTCCCCGGACTGCTCGCCAGGGCCCCACCACGGCGCAGCAGAGCCAAGCACCACCCAGCCCGCGGCCCAAGAGAGGAGGCCGGCCACACCCGCCAGGGCCGCCCGAACCCCCCCATGATGGGTCTTCCACCCGGCGGGCCAGCCCACCCGCGCAGGGCCAGAGACAGAGAGTTAGGGGGGGGCCCTCGGCCCCCATCCCCTCCCCGACCCATGTTGGTGTGAAGTGTGCATGTACATGTGTGAGAGAGTTGTGTGTTTATGTCTACAATGCATTCAAATTAGTGGGTGCAGTTCGGGTATGAGGGCCCCACCACTGGCAGATGGCAGAGTCCCCCATCCCCCTCCCCGCACCCCCAAGGCCCTAATGTAATATGGACTGTGTATATGACTAAGGTGCAAAAAGTGGGCGAGCAGTTGAGGCATGGGCACCCCACCGCTGGCAGATGGCAGAGCCCCACCTGCCTCAACCCACCTCCTCAGCCCTAGTGTCATGTGGTGTCTAACATGCAAGTAAAAATTGAGGGACAGTGTCTCGGCGCACCTCCTCACTGCCCCTCAAGGCCCTAGTGTTGTGTGAAATGTGGTGTTGGGCCCAGGGGAGCAATAAGGGCGTGCCAGGAGTGGGCCCCCCCCGGCACCAGGGCCAGATCCCCGACTGGCCCCGATTAGTCGCTATCCCCGACCCAACCGAGGTGTTCAGGGGCGCCACAGGCAGCCCGGCAGCAGGGAACCCCCCCCCAGGCGCAGACCGGGAGAGACGCACCCCACCACGCCCGATGAGACCCCAGCTAGCAGCCAAGGACAGGACAACCCCAGACCCCCCGGCAAACGGGGAGCCGGTCCAGCCAGGGAGGGTGACCCCCGCCCCCCGGCCCCCCCAGGCCCCCCCCCCCCCCGGCGAGGCAGACGCTCCTCCCACCTCCCCCCCCAAACCACCCCACAGTGTCCGAGGGCCCCGCACCGGAATCGCCAACGGCAGACAACGACCCACCCCCACCAGGCAACGGGC